TACTTGGGGCCCTGACCATCTACATTCAAGACTCAGACTGAGTTCCAGAATCACAGCTTTGGCCCAGTCCCAACTGTTGCTAGCATTTGGAGAACGAATTAGAAGATGTAAGAGAGGTCACTGTGTGTGTGTGTGTGTGTGTTTCTCTCCTCCACCTTTAAATTAAAACAAATGCTCTATAGTCTTGAATTCAAATTAGAAATATCAGTAGAACTCAAGAGTTATTCCTAGCTCTGTTCACTGAAATAGCCTAGAAACAAAGGACAATGAACCAGTGAAAATGAGTATCCTTACACTATGGTCTTAAAATACCGTTTCTCACTAAAATACTTTTCTTAAGAGATATGGGTGAGTCCAGAAGAAAAGTACATACAAAATGAATTTTATTAACACCAAGAGGCAAGGATGCTAATCCAAAGTCTCAGGAGTCAATGGTGAAAAAGATTCTACTACCCAGAGATGGACAATTTGAGCTTCTATAATGATAAAAACTGAATTTTCCTGAAATTCACAAACTATGCTAAACTCATGAGTTTATTACTATTCAAAAAGTGATCACCTTTGGAGGACGGAGGACCAGTTTACTATCTGAAAAACTGATAAAGAGAAACAATCAAGCATTTACCTTGAATTTCCTATATGAACTATACTATTGGTTTACCAAATAATAGATGAGAAATGGGAAGTATCTACTTACATTAATTAATAGTCTATTATTACTTTGCAATTCCCAATTAATGAGCAATTGTTTTAAGTATTAAGGAAAAAACTAAAGAGCCAATTAGAAAATGTAGACTTAGGTATGACTAAACTATAAAGTCTAGAAAAGAATATTGGGAGATAAAATCATAAAAACATGTAAAAAAGAGAAGTTAGAATAATGATGTGTTATAATGGTTAAGGTGACAAGAAGGCTGATTGGAATGGGGCAAACAGAAATGACTTCTGGGATGCATGAAAAAGTTCTATTTCTTTTTTTTAAAACAAATATTTATTTTATTTATTTAAAAAGACAGAGTTACAGAGAAAGAGATACACATAAAGAGAGAGTCTTCCAGCTGCTGGTTCACCCCTCAAATGGCCGCGAAGGCCAGAGTTGAGCTGATCTGAAGCCAGGAGCTTCCTCTAGGTCTCCCACATGGGCACAGGGGCCCAAGGACTTAGGCCATCCTCCACTGCTTTTCCAGGCACATTAGCAGAGAGGTGGACCAGAAATGCAGCATCCAGGACTCGAACTGGCACCCATAAGGGATGGTGGCATCACAGGCCGCAGGCCAGGGCTTTAACCCGCTGCACCATAGCATCGACCCCAACAAAGTTCTATTTCTTGACTTAGATGTAATTATAAGGATGTACACTATAATAATTTATTAGACCATATATGTGGCTTTCATACTTTTTATTTTTCACTTTATAATAGCAAATTATAGTAACAAAATTTTCAAGTGGTAGTATTTTTCTTACTCTAAATGATAGGTATAAGTTTTCATTATATCATAATTCTTTCTACTTCACATATTTCATAAATATTTATGTACCTTTTCAGTGTTAATTGAAATTTTAATCAAACCAGATTATTCATAATGAAAACTCTAATTAAAATCATAGTCTAAATCCATGAGTTGAAATCTAGACTTTACCATTAACCAACTTTCTAAGCCTCAATTTCTTCGTATGCAAAAGGAGAAAAATAAAAGCTGAGGTTAATTAATAATTAAATAGTATACTATTAATTCACTGCATTAAAATGTATTTTATTTTCCATTCCTTTTCTTTCTTTTCTTTTCTTTGTTAAAAAAAGTCAGAGTTAAAGAAAGGGAGAGACAGAGAGAGAGATCTTCTAGTCAGTGGTTCACTCTACAGTTGGCTGCATTAGCTAGGGCTGGGTCAGGCCGAAGCCAAGAGCCAGGAGCTTCACCCATGTCTCCCACATGCACTGGGGTCATCTTCTGCTGCTTTCCCAGGTGCATTAGCAGGGAGCTGGATCAGAAGTGAGCAGCCAGGACTCAAATCAGTGTCCATATAGGATGACAGCACTACAGACGGTGGCTTAACCCACTGCACCACAGTGCCATCCCCTATTTTCCATTTCTCACAAATCTTTTAATTTAAGCCAAGAAAGCATATATTTATGCATGAGCAATTTTATTTAAGGGATCAACTAATCAAGACATGTAATTCCTTGCTATTCAAAATAGTTGGAGTCTAACAATATATAGTAGTCCATTCCTTTAGCAAGGTACTTACTGAATCTAGAACAGTATTTGGCACATGGTTAACAAAACAAAGTTCCTGCTCTGATAAACTGTTTTACTAGTACAGTGAGATAAAACAACATAAAAAAATTAACAGATAATATGTCAGGAAATAATAAGTCCAAGAAGAAAAATGATGAATAGTATGGCAATTATGTAAGGGCTCTATAATAAAAGAAAGCACAAGCCTTTTAGGGAAAGAACAACAGGTAGAAGAAATCAAGTACAAAGGCACTCAGGTAGAATACCTTTTGTGTTCCAGAAACAGCAACGCTAATGTGGCTCCAGTGGAGTGAACAGGAGTGCAGTAGTAAGACATAACACCAAAGAAAGTGCCAGGGAAGATTCAGTAGGGTGTTACAGGCTCTGGGATTTTATTCTTTTTTTTTTTTAAGATTTATTTATTTATTTGAAAGGCAGAATTAGAGAGGCAGAGGCAGACAGAGAGACAGGCTTCCATCCACTGGTTTACTCCCCAGATGGCCGCAAAGACTGGAGCTGCACCAATCCAAAGACAGGAGCCAGGAGCTTCCTCTGGGTCTCCCACATGGGTGCAGAAGCCCAAGGACTTGCACCATCTTCTACAGCTTTCCCAGGCCATAGCAGAGAGCTGGATCAGAAGTGGAGCAGCCAGGACTCGAACAGGCGGACATTATCGGATGCTGGCACTGCAGGCAGCAGCTTTACCTGCTATACCACAGAGCTGGCCCCGGGATTTTAGTCTTAACACATAGAAACTACCATAGGATTGACATGTTCTAATTTACTTTAAAATAATCCCTATGTTTTATTGGATGAAGAAAAGACTCAGAGCAATAACAAAAGGAGCAACTAGTCCCTTAAGCAGCTAATGCCACTGTGCAGGCAAGATACAATGGTGACTAGTTCTAGAGGAGTAGAAGTGGAAATGATTGACAGGAAGTGTCAGATTATGGGTATCTTAACTTTTCCCATAGCTTTAGCATCTATACACACAAAATTTTCCCAAATGCTATATCTTTTTAAAATATTGTTACAGAAATTACAGTCCTTAAAAAATTTTCAAAACATATAGCCACTGGAAGACTATCCTTTAAGAGATAGATAAGGGAGAGCTGGCAGTACAGAGCAACAGGTTAAACTACTGCTGCAACACTGAGGACGCCGGCATCCCATATCCTGGCTTTTCTACTTCTGATCCAGCTTCCAGTTAATGCATCTGGGAAAGCAGCAGAAAATGGTCCAAGTACCTGGGCCCCTGCCACCCATGTGGGAGACCTGGATGGCAGCTCCAGGTTGCTCACTTTAGCCTGGTGCAGCCCCAGCCATTGCTGCCATTTGGGGAGTGAACCAACAGATGGAAGATCTCTCAATCTCTCAATCTCTCCTCCCCTATCTCTCCCTCTTGCTGAGTCTTTCAAATAAATTAGCAAATTGTTTAAAAAAAGAGATAAGCAAATCTATAAAAGACTGTGTCTAAGTATAAAGACTCTACAGTAAAACTTCTTGTTTTTAACTCACTTACTAGATGTGAAAATTATAGCAACAATTTTGTCCCAGCTTTCCCATCTGCCAAATGGGGTAATAATAATAGTAATAGCTACCTCACAGTACTATTATGATTAAATATGAAAGTAAATATAAAGAATTTAGCTGACATATAAATCAATAAACAGCAGCTATCAAATATATTGTTATATACTTTCTACCATTACAACTTTTTCTTATTGCTGCTATTTATAATAAGCCCTAATATAACTGGTTATATATTCATTTTTAAAGTAGCAGAAAAATAAACTTTGTCATTCTAATATGTTACTTAATACAGTTTTCAACTGAAAGCACAGTTATTGCTTTTGATATAACAAAGCACACTGATTTGTATTATACTTTTTTAAAAAAATTAATGAATCAATCTTAAGGAAACCTGAATTTAGACTTCAAAGAATCCAAAGCAATTCCTAATTTTTTTTTCTTCCCTTCAAAATTAAAACTAACGTTCAAAAAATCGTATAAGGCTCTAAAAAAGTCCCACAAAGAGTACGACAGGAACAATCATATTTGAGCCATAATCACTTGGACTTTTTGTTTAGTGGGTCACATAATTTTATTACATTGTATATCTGTGTGTATGGGTAGGTTCACAAGATAAACCATTTGAGGCCAAAAGTTTAACACCCTTTCATATTTCAAATGCTTCCACTAAAGACACATATGGGCCGGTGCCGTGGCTCAATAGGCTAATCCTCCGCCTGCGGCGCCAGCACCCCGGGTTCTAGTTCCAGTCAGGGAGCCGGATTCTGTCCTGGTTGCCCCTCTTCCAGGCCAGCTCTCTGCTGTGGCCCAGGAAGGCAGTGGAGGATGGCCCAAGTGCTTGGGCCCTGCACCCCATGGGAGACCAGGAGAAACACCTGGCTCCTGCCTTTGGATCAGCGCAGTGCGCCGGCCGCAGCGCGCCAGCTGCGGCGGCCATTGGAGGGTGAACCAACGGCAAAAGGAAGACCTTTCTCTCTGTCTCTCTCTCTCACTGTCCACTCTGCCTGTCAAAAAAAAAAAAAAAAAAAGACACATATGACAAAAAAAAAACAATAATTGCCTCTTGGAGAAGGGGAGAAAGAGATACTCTTTGCACTTAAAGTCTTTGACATTATTTGGTTTCTTTCCTTGTATATGTATTAACTTTTCAAAATAAAAGAATTTCATTCTATTAACAATTAATAAAACAAATTTTAAAATGTCTCAGAGTTCGTCAAAATGGTAGCTTACCAGATTGAAGATGCCAGCAAAATATTAGTGTGGTTTGCAAGAAACCTCAACGGAGGCTCTGCAAGCAGTATACAGGATAGAATTCCCCCACCAAAGCAGTGGAGCATAGCAGTAAACCAGCTTGAAACTGGATTCTTCCATGCCACTGCCGCTGCTCCTAAAATGGTAAAGTAAAAACATGGTTTAAACATGGACCACACAGAAAAGGACCTACAATAGCAACAAACTGTTAACTATTGTTATCTCTTAAGGGAAGCCTGGGATTAAAGAGATGGTCAAGGGAGCTCTAAACTTATTTTAATTGTATGATATAATTATATTTGAATTATTTAAAATATAATGTTCATTTATTAATTATATAATTAAAATTTTAGGGGCCGGCACTGTGGCAAAGCAGGTAATGCTGCAGCCTGCAGTACCGGCAACATATGGGCACCAGTTTGTGTCCTGGCTTCTTCACTTCCAATCTAGCTCCCTGCTAATGCACCTGAGAAAGCAAGGGAAGATGGCCCAACTGCTTGGGTCTCTGCACCCACATTGGAAACCCAGAAAAAGCTCTGGCCTCCTGGTTTTGGATGGGCCTTGCTCCAGCTGTTGCAGCCATTTGGGGAGTGAACCAGCAGATGCAAGAGTGTTCTCTCTCTCTCTCTGCCTATGCCTCTCTGTAACTCTGCCCTTTAAATAAATAAATCAATAAAAAATTTAACAAATTATACCATATCTAATCTGAGAATACAATGCACCTAGTTCAAAAGAATACAGCAGTTTTACATACTATATGTAAAATTGTGCAAAAAGAGAATCATATGTGTAAACAGTATGTATAGTATGAAATCATTTACAAGGAAAAAAACAGAAAACAAGATATTTTTCTAGGTATATACATATGCAAGTAATGCATAGACTAAGGTCTACAAGAATACATAACCAAACTGACAGCTACTGTTACTTTCAGAAAGAGGCCCATTTATGTAAAAACAAGCCACCACTAAAAAAAAAAAAAAAAAAAAACAACTGCAGGGCCAGTGTTTGGCACAGCAGTTAAGAAGTGACGTGGAACACATGCATCCCCTGTCAGTGTCTGGGTGCAAGCCCTGGCTCTGCTTTCAATTCTAGCTTCCTGTTAATGCATATGCAGGAAGGGAATGATGATGGCTGAAGTAAACGGTTCCCTACCACTCAGGTGGGAGACCCAGACTGAGTTCTTGGCGTCTTTGTCCTGGCCTAGCTCTAGTTGTTAATAGGCACTTTGAGAGTGAAGCAGATCTTTCTCTGTTATCTGTCTTTATCTCTTTATTTATCTTTTTCTCTCGCTCACCCTTGCTCTCTCTCTGCCTTTGAAATAAAATGAAAAAATTTTTGGAATTTTGCAAATCTGTTTATGAATTTAAAACATCAATGTTGCCTGTATTTAACATGGGAATTCATCTATATGTGCTCAGAAGGAAAATAAACATTTGAATAGGGCAATCCACCATTCCCCAAATAAAATATGCCCAGGGGTGAACATGGTTTAGTAAATGTGCATGCTTGTGGTGTACATATCCTGAAAAGTACAGTGCTGCCAAAGTGTAATGATACGTATCTGGTGGTAACTCAAGAAATGGTTACTGCTCCAATCTAAAGAAAAATCCACTTACAAGAAACTTACTAAAGGATGTCAATCTCCAGTATAGCATCTTCCCTTAAGCCTAAGAATCTTCAAGAGGTATTTCAACGATACAAGGCCATGCTGTATTTAGTGCAAAATTCCAATGCAATATATGATACCACTGTGTCTAGAATATACACAAACATAATATATGGGCCCTGCTCCTACAGTGTGACTGATTATTGTACTAGCCAGCACAATAATGAGCACAATTTTTTTCCATTCCATCAATGAGCACTAGCTGAACAATAAACAATGCCATTAAGCCATCCTCAGGTTGAAAGCAACACACAATGCTTAAAAAAAAAAAAAAAGGATTCTAGGATTCTAGAACATTTACTGCCCAGACACAGATCCTAGCTCTAGTACTTATTCTTTGGGTAAACCCAACAAGTAAACTGTCCTTTTCCCCACATCTTTAAAATACAGATGCCCCCACCTCTAGCCCTTTTATTGATATAAAAGGAAAAGGGAAAAAGTAACCCATATCATAGGGTTGTTGTAAGGTCAACTATGAGTAAGTACATTTAAAGCACTCAGAGTGGGGCCTACCATACAGTAAGTAGGAAGTATTGGCTATCACTATTATCACAGAAGTACACAGGAAAAAAACTACTCAATTTCCTCTCTCCTACCATTCACACTCCTCCTCCTCTGAGTGACTATTTCTAGTCTTTTCCTACGTTTACTTATACTCCGTCTCCACCTCCACCTCCCATCTGTCTGCTACTTTTTCTCTCCCCACTCTGTGCATCCTGTGTGTTTATGGGTGTCTCCCTCTCTCTTTTACAGGCCTGGTTAGCACTGGAGACACATTCTTGAAAGGGAAGCTGCAACTTAATGAGAGTTCTAATGGGCCCATCATAGCACAACAGTCACTATGAAAACACATCCCCACAGTACTGATTACTTCTGACAAATATGAGGGGCCTTTAACATGTTTGTAGAAAATTTGCATTATCTTTTAATTCTATTTTTCCATGAACTTTATTTAAAATCCACCTCATATACAGTTAGCGATTATTGACTGATGTGTTCATCTTCTGTATTTCCTAATAACTGTTCTTTTTGTTTTGTTTTGTTTTGTTTTTTAAGATTTATTTTATTTATTTGAAAGAGTTAAAGAGAGAGATAAAGACGAGAGGTCTTCCATCCGCTGGTTCACTCCCCAGATGACTGCAACAGCCAGAGCTGAGCTGATCTGGAGCCAGGAGCCAGGAGCTTCTTCCAGGTCTTCATTGAGGGTGCGGGGCCGGGTGGGGGGTGGGGGGCAAGGACCTGGGCCATCTTCCACTGCTTTCCCAGGCCATAGCAGAGAGCTGCATCAGAAGTGGAACAACTGGGACTCAAACAGGAGCCCATGTGGGCTGCCAGCACTACAGGTGGTGGCTATACCCACTATACCACAGCACTGGCCCCTAATAAGTGTTCCAACAGAAGATCAAGCATTACCTTTAACTGACACTCACCATTCATGAGCTAAACCAAATCCAAACATACTCAGGTTCTCCTTTGACCACTGAAATAATCCAAATCAAATTCACTAAATGCTTTTCATACATAGTATTCACTCACATAATACCCATTTCTGGATAAGTCTACCAAAATAACTTTCCTTTGTCCTCAACTTTTGATGATTTTATTCATTCCTCTTAATACGTATCACATTCCAAATTTCGTTCACAAGTTTTATCTCCATCAAAAACTGCTAATCCTTAGGACTCCAACAGAGACTTAGTATGGAGTAAGTGCTCTATAATGTTTAGCATGACAGGGTAATAAATACATGTGAAATATTTCCAAGAGGTTAAGCATAAAAATTTTAATTTCACTTACTTATGATTGTCGTAACTCAGGCAGCTGTGACTGTTTATTACTTTTGAAACCTCTGAGTAAGACCTCTTAACTTTTCTTGGCTTAAATTTCATCTTAAATAATATTAACAATGCATATCTTGATTTCAACTGAGATAATGTACACAAACAAATTTACTGCCCAGTACAAGACAGACACTTTGCTGACTCCTTTCTGTTAAATGACTTGATCGCTAACAGCAGAGAAAAGAGGGGGGAGTCAAATGAAACCCAAGAGCTATTTCTGGCTCAATTCTCTAAAGCAGAGATACAGCTCTTTTGAATTCTTATTGCAAGGTTTCGATGACAATAATGTATCATGGCACTGAAACAATACCCATCACCCCATATGGGCACAGGTTCAAGACCCAGCTGCTCCACTTCTGATCTAGCTCTCTGATATGACCTGGGAAAGCAGAAGATGGCCCAATTCCTTGGGCCCCTGCACCAGCATGGGAGACCTAGAGGAAGCTCCTGGCTCTTGGTTTCAGATCGGTGCAGCTCTGGCCGGGGTGGCCATCTAGGGAATAAACTAGTGGATGGAAGACCTCTCTCTGCCTCTGCCTCTCTGTAACTCTTCCTTTCAAATAAATAAATCTTTTTAAAAACTAACAAACAAAATTTTTGAGGCCCACAAGCAATCAATAAATAGCATATAAGAAACAACAGAAAAATCCTAAATACTTCTTTATGTATTCATTTTAAAAATAAATGACTAAATGGTAGCATAAATTATGTATTCTTTAGGATAAATAATTAAATTTTGCAAAGCAGACAACACTTAATGAGAAAAGTCACACTGTTATATATCGTAGCAAATCTCCTCAATGTCTGGTTTCAAACAGAAAACAGCTGGCTGTATTCTCACATCTGCTTCAATCCGTTCCATTATCAGAAGTCATGTAGCCACTGGAAAACTCCACTATACACTTGTGAGAAAATAGGAGTGAGAAAGATAACAGCTGAATATTTTTAAGAAAATAATTTTAACCTGAAAAGTGTCATGGAACCCCATGGGTCCCTAGACCACACTCTGAGAACCTCTGATTTAGCCTATACAAGAACATACTAAATTCGGAATATAGGGGCCGGCGCTGTGGTGCAGTAGGTTAATCCTCCGCCTGCAGCACCAGCATCCCATATGGGTGCCGGTTCTAGTCCCGGCTGCTCTTCTTCCAATCCAGCTCTCTGCTGTAGCCTGGGAAAGCAGTAGAAGATGGCCCAAGTCCTTGGGCCCCTGCACCTGTGTGGGAAACCAGAGGAAGCTCCTGGCTCCGGATCGATGCAGCTCCAGCCGTTACGGCCATTTGGGGAGTGAACCAGCAGATGGAAGACCTTTCTCTCTTTCTCTACCTCTCACTTTCTGTAACTCTACCTCTCAAATAAATAAATAATAAATTTGGAATATGGAGTTAAAAAGGCAATATTCTTCTTTTCAAAGAAACTATGTTTCACAGATAACCTGTCCTACTTTAATACGGTAATACTCTCGTAAACCAAGTCAAAATTTCCAGCAAATAATGAGGCTGAGTTGCAGACTTCAACAGGAACGAAAAATATGTTGGCCAGCGCCGCGGCTCACTAGGCTAATCCTCCGCCTGCGGCGCCGGCACACCAGGTTCTAGTCCCGGTCGGGGCACTGGATTCTGTCTTGGTTGCCCCTCTTCCAGGCCAGCTCTCTGCTGTGGCCCGGGAAGGCAGTGGAGGATGGCCCAGGTGCTTGGGCCCTGCACCCCATGGGAGACCAGGAGAAGCACCTGGCTCCTGCCATTGGATCAGCGCGGTGCACTGGCCGCAGCGCGCCGGCCGCAGCGGCCATTAGAGGGTGAGCCAACGGCAAAGGGAGGACCTTTCTCTCTGTCTGTCTCTCTCACTGTCCACTCTGCCTGTCAAAAAATTAAAAAAAAAAAAAAAAAGTTGAGGTCCAAGGACTTAAAAAACAATCCATAAGAGAGGCACAGCGTCATCCTCAAGCCCTCCTTCATCAGGCCTCTGCAGAGCAAGGAAGATGAAAAGCAGCAAGAACACCTACAAAGAAGGCAAAGAAATGCCTGCCCGCAAGGAAAGAGGAGATTCAAACCTCAAAGGGAGGTCCCATTTACTAAGAGAGTAAAGCAATACAGGAACAGCATATCCTGGCTGGGAAATACTAACAGGGTGGTGCAGAGAAGTCAAACTGCGGAACCAAGACTGTATTCCTCCCCCCCCCCCCCCCCCATTCTACGGATGGCCACACGACTCTTAACTTTGTACTGCTGCACCAAGGCTATATCCCCATTCTACGGATGGTAAAGCGGCCCCACGACTCTAACTGTGTACAACGCCACTGGTGGTGGCCGCCGCCGCGACACCGCGTTCACGGGATACACCGGTGCGTCGGCCCCAGGCTTTGTGTTGACGAATTCGTACAACTTTCCTAAGTGGGGAGTACTCGACCATTTGTCACTCCAAGACACCGAGTCGGAGACCTGCAGGTCTCAGGCAGCTTTGTTCGTGGGTGATTGGAATCTGTCTCCGTCTCCCTGCCCTTCAAACACGTAAAACAAATAGATACGGTCCGAGGGAGCGGTGGCACCACCAGGAGACGGCGCCAAAGACGGCTGGCACCGCGAGCCCGACGAGCGGCGGCGGCTTCTGTCACCTGTCCTTGGAGTCCGCCAGACGCCCCTGCTTCGGCGTCGAAGACCCCGGGCCGCGCCTCCCCCCTCCCCGGCCTCAGTTTCCCCATTTGTACTCAAGGGGTCGACTGCCATCGGAACTGCGTGGGCCAAAAGCCCCTGGACTGCCCACTCGGCCCCGGCAGTCCTCGCCGGGAAGGGGGCGTCGGGGAGGCCGGTCCGCAGCGCCCACACTCACCCGGCTGACGCTTCAGAGCCATCAAGGACACTAGATAGTGGGCGATGTCAAAAAAAGGGAACATGGACGTGCGGGAGAAAGCCAGCGTCAGCTCGTCCCACGGGGAGTCCATGGCTACCACACACACCGCGGCAGCCGAGGAGCCGCGACCGGTGCCCCGCGTGCGCGGCGAGCGGCGGGGGGAGGGGCAGCCGCGGCCGCGCGCTCGACCGCGCCGCCGCGCGCCCTGCGCATGCGCCCTGGCTCCGGGAGCCCGCGCGCCGAGGGGCGGGGCCGCGTGTCCCGGAGCCGTGAGCGCGCGGCAGGATCCCGAAGCTGCTCCGGAGGCCTCGCCTCAAGTCTCCTAGTAAGGGTTCAGCGTCTTCCTGGCTCGGAGTCGGATCTATTTCTGTAAATTGATGTCATTTACCCAACTTTTATTGAACAACCACAGTACAAGGCACACCGTGACCTTTTGGAGGTTAAAAAATGAAACTGTGGTGGCCTCGAGAAAGTTGCGGTTCCTCAGTTTTGTTTTTAAGAAAAAAAAATGCACCTAATTGTACACAACAGGTGGGTCAGAAGTGTAAGTGTTATGAGAGGGCAGTTTCTAAGAGAGAAAGGTTGTGCTAAAAATGTGGGTGCCGCATGCCGGGGCTGTGGCTTACTGGGTGAAGCCGCTGCCTGCAGTGCCGGCATCCCATATGGACGCTGGTTGGAGTCCCGGCTGCTCCACTTCCGACCCAGCTCTCTGCTGTGGCCTGGGGAAAGCAGTAGAAGATGGCCCAAGTCCTTGGGCCCCTGCACCCATGTGGGAGACCCAGAAGAAGCTCCTGGCTCCTGATCGACCCAGCTCTGGCCCTTGCGGCCATTTGGGACGTGTAACTCTGCTTCTCATCCTCATTTCCCACTTTGTGGTCCAGCCAGAACAGTCCCCTCCATTTCGCTTGCACTCCTGGCTCGCCTCACCCACTTTTTTTTTTTTTTTAAGACTATTTGAAAGGCAGAGTTACAGAGAGAAGTAGAGACAGAGAGGGAGGTCTTCCAGCTACTGGTTCACTCCTAAATGGCCACAAGGGCCAGAGCTGGATCAATCAAAAGCCAGAGCCAGAAGCTTCTTCCGGTTCTCCCACGTGGGTGCAGGGGCCCAGGGATTTGGGCCATCTTCTACTGCTTTCCCAGGCCATAGCAGAGAGCTGGGTCAGAAGTGGAGCAGCTGGGATTCGAACCAGCGCCCATATGGGATGCCGGCACTGCAGGCGGTGGCTTTACATGCTGTGCCACAGCACCAGCCCTATCTGTTCATATTTTATATTTTTTTGTGAGAGTTAGTTCTCTCTGTTCTTTTCCTTTTTTTTACATTCCTTTGTCTTTGAGATTATAGTGTTGTTAATTGAGGGGCAGAATTTAGATATTCTTTCCTAAAAGGTTTTACATATTCTCAGTCTTAAAATTTCACAGAGAACATACTTTGTCCTTGGACTTAAACCACTCAAGACAGTCATCCTTGTAACATCTCTACATCATGTGTCTACCAACGTCATTTCACATAATTTTTAACAGCAAAAGGCTGTCAGATCTCCCACATCTCCACGTGAGTGCCTTCCCAGGCACATTAGTAGGGAACTGCATCAGAAGCAGAGCAGCTGGGACACAAATTGGTGCTGCAATATGGTATGCCAATGTTGCAGGCAGCAGCTTAACCCCCTGGGCCAGAGTATCTGCCCTTAATTTGCCCCTTTTTTCACATTATTAAATCTATGTGCCTTTTCTCCTGTTTAATCTTTCTTCGTCAGTTTATTTGAGTGAACTGTCAGAGAGCAGAGGGGACATTTCCCCTCATCCCTATAGGGCAGCAGCAAAACACATTTGAGATTTTTGAAGAAGGTAAATAGAGCATTTTACTTGCCTTAAGCAGATTAATCCCACAGGAAAGAATTAATCATCCCAAACTCTATAAGTAACCTGAAATTTGTTTTATTTCAAAACTGTAGGAATGGCCGGCGCCGCAGCTCACTAGGCTAATCCTCTGCCTTGCGGCGCCGGCCCCCTGGGTTCTAGTCCCGGTCGGGGCACCTGATTCTGTCCCGGTTGCCCCTCTTCCAGGCCAGCTCTCTGCTGTGGCCAGGGAGTGCAGTGGAGGATGGCCCAAGTGCTTGGACCCTGCACCCCATGGGAGACCAGGAGAAGTACCTGGCTCCTGCCTTCGGATCAGCGCGGTGCGCCAGCCGCAGCACGATATCCGCGGCGGCCATTGGAGGGTGAACCAACGGCAAAGGAAGACCTTTCTCTCTGTCTTTCTCTCTCTCTTACTGTCCACTCTGCCTGTCAAAAAATTAAAAAAAAAAAAAAAACTGAAGGAATAAGCTTGTCCCATCTGCCTAGAGCCTGAAAAACTAAAAACAAGCAAAAATAAGGGAAATTAAGTAGCAATCTCACAAAAAGACAAATTCTGCCTGAATTTTAAAGACACTGCTGTGCTTGTTTCAGGTCAGTGCTTGGGTTCGTTCGTCTGATGAACTGGGGCGGCAGAAGGCCATTAGGGGAAAAAGGGAGAGAAGCCTTTGAATTGATAAGAAGGAAAGGCGGCCGTCACCCGGTTCACTAGGCTAATCCTCCGCCTGCAGCGCCGGCCCCCTGGGTTCTAGTCCCGGTTGTGGGGACGCTTCTGTCCCGGTTGCCCCTCTTCCAGTCCAGCTCTCTGCTGTGGCCCAGGGGTGCAGTGGAGGATGGCCCAAGTGCTTGGGCCCCTGCACCTGCATGGGAGACCAGGAAGAAGCACCTGGCTCCTGGCTTCAGATCAGCGTAGCTCCGGCTGTAGCGGCCATTTTGGGGTTGAACCAACAGAAGGAAGACCTTTCTCTCTGTCTCTCTCTCACTGTCTAACTCTGCCTGGCAAAATAAATAAATAAATAAATAAAGAAGGAAAGGCAGCATTTGGGAAAGTGATGTGCGAATATTAATGCCTTTCCTGACTTTTAAAAGAAGTTACTGTATGACACTTATTGCTGATTAAATGAATCCCAATTACAAAGTATTCATTAGAAAGCAAAACCAGTCTAATTATATTAACATCTGAAAAAGTTTTTTATTAAACCTATTCAAGGCATTTTTTAGTTTGAAAGCATGAAATTAATTTTCATAAACCAGGCTTCTCAACAGGACATTTTGGACTGCATAATTCTTCATTGTGGGGGAATGTCCTATGCATTGTTAGACGTTTAGCAGGGTCCATGTCACTAGACGCCAGTAATGCATCCATTCACCTACTCCCCACTAAACACACACACGCACACACACACACATACATACACACAAACAATTGTGACTACCAAAATTATCTCTAAACTTTGCTAAACGTCCTCTTGTAGTGGGAAAAAGGACACAAAAGAGCTCTGGCTCAGAGCTGTTCTTAAAAATGAAGAAATGCTTTCTTCAGCAGCATGTGCCTCTATTAATACAAACATTATGGCCATGCCACTAATATTAATCACCAGGTTAATTCTAGAACAACTCACATAACCCCGTTTAGTCTTGGCTTGCTCATTCATTTGCTGGATCAAGTTGGTAATATCCTGTAATCCAGCATTGTAAATGCAGTCCTAGCTCTTTTTTCCTTGCAATACTGCTTTCTTTCCACTGAGTGGCATGCCTTTCACTTCAGGAAATTCACAACAATAACTTTTTAGAGGACCATAAAAAGTCTGCGATTAGTAAGTTTCATATTAAATGGAACCAATTGTACTTCTAAACTTCAGTTTTCTGGCGAGGCATTTTCATTCTCAAGGTATTTTTATAGGCACTTGATGACTACATTGAATCAAATTATATTGTAATACTACATGCAATGAAGATAAAATATGTGTAATTTGAATTCAAACTTTTTTAAACCTTCAGGATTATCAAGGAAAATTAAATGATGAGTGCCAGTTGCCCTAGCATACCCACTGAATTCAAGCAGTTCAGTGTTCCTGAGATTCAAGTGATAAACCAATTCAAGTAATGTCAACTCTTCAGACTCAGCGTGTGTCTAATAATAGTACCTCTGATATTGTGTTTTGGAAAATCTGACTTGGCTCACTCGTTTCTTACACTGGAAACTAAAATTCTTTTTATATAAACATCACTTATACCTCTAAAATAAACTGTCAAGCTAACAATGTTCCCAATGTGTAATAACATAACGAATTAAAAACTTGATATTATTAAAGGGAATATCCCTGGTTTTCATCAGTGTAAGGACTGCCAAAGCTGCAGTCATCTAAGCCGTAGCTGCCAGTTATCTGTGGTTACCAACACTTGACATTACAATCCAGCTCTCCTCAACAGTGACATGCACCATTAAATCACAGAATAACAGAATTCTGGAAGTGAACAGGCTCGTTAAAAACATGTCTTCAAGTGCAAGTAATAGAAAACTGTTTTGAGCAGCTTAAAGTGAGGAATTTGCTGAACGCAAAGAAGAGTTGAACAACCAACTCCAAGAAGAGAAGCATGCAGAGTATTTCTGAGGTTAGCAACAGCAGGTGGGTGTGGGCTTCTCTCAGCCACTGACGATCCTCTGTGCCAACATCCCTCAGCCTCTGGGACCACCTATGCAGTATTGCCAGGAGAGAAAGACTGCCATGGCCTGGAATAGAAGTCCTGTCCTGTGTTTATCTGATCTACTGAGAGGCTGGGTCACATGGCTCAGAGTGAAACCATCCCTACACGTCAGAAGCAGTGTCCTGAGAAAGGACAGAGCCAGATAGCCATTCCAAGAGGTGCCTGTTCTAATCATTTCATTAAATCTGTTTATTTTAAAGAAAGAAATGAATGGCCAGAAGAGGCCACAAAGGCAGTCTAGACAGTCTAAAATTTGTTATTTTTCTGTTACAATCAGTCTCCCCGAAGTACTACTAAATTTTCTCCTGCCCGGTAGAAAAACAAACAAAACTTCTAAAGTTTTCCTTTGTGTGTGTGTTGGGGGGGGGGGGGGGGCTCAAAGATATTTATTTGGGACAAAAATAAATTTTGAAGAGCAGCCTTAGGCATAGTGATTAAATTGCCAGTGGCAGTGCTTGCATCCCATGTAGATGTGCCTAGGTTTGAGTCCCAGCTCTGCTGTTTAATCCAGCTTCCTGTTCATGTGTACCCTGGGAGGCTGAGGTGATGGTCCAAGTTACAGTGTTCCTACCACTCACCTGGGAGACCTGGATTCAGTTCCTGGCTCTTGGCAGTG